TAGTACCCTTCCTGAGCACATGGCTGAGCACATGAAATTAACCCCGTTTTAAGGTAGTACCCTTCCTGATAACATGGCTGAGCACATGAGATTAACCCCTTTTTAAGGCTGTACCCTTCCTGAACACATGAGATTAATCCCGTTTTAAGGTAGTACCCTTCCTGAACACATGGCTGAGAACATGAGATTTATCCCGTTCGGACGCATTACATTTATAACGTGTTTTCATTTTTTTTCCTATCTGGTTCCATATTCGACTGAATTGTGTTCGCAACTCGCGATGTGAAATCACAAGTCAAGATATTTTTGCATATTATTACGTAGTTGTTTTAGTAAAAATGACTGACACTTCAAAGGATTAAATACCCTTCCTGAGCACATGATATTAACCCCGTTTCAAGGTAGTACCCTTCCTGAACACATGAGATTTATCCCGTTTTAAGGTAGTACCCTTCCTGAACACATGGCTGAGAACATGAGATTTATCACGTTTTAAGGTAGTACCCTTTCTAAACACATGAGATTAACCCCGTTTTAAGGCTGTACCCTTCCTGAACACATGAGATTAATCCCGTTTTAAGGTAGTACCCTTCCTGAACACATGGTATTAACCCGTTTTAAAGTAGTACCCTTCCTGAACACATGAGATAAACCCCGTTTAAAGGAAGTACCCTTCCCGAGTACATTAGATTAACCCTGTTTAAAGGTAGTACCCTTCCTGAACACATGAGATTAACCCCGTTTTAAGGTAGTACCCTTCCTAAACATACGAGATTAACCCCGTTTTAAGGTAGTACCCTTCCTGAGCACATGGCTGAGCACATGACATTAACCCCGTTTTAAGGTAGTACCCTTCCTGAACACATGGCTGAGCACATGAGATTAACCCCTTTTTAAGGCTGTACCCTTCCTGAACACATGAGATTAATCCCGTTTTAAGGTAGTACCCTTCCTGAACACATGGCTGAGAACATGAGATTTATCCCGTTTTAAGGTAGTACCCTTTCTAAACACATGAGATTAACCTTGTTTTAAGGTAGTACCCATCCTGAACACATGGTATTAACCCGTTTTAAGGTAGTACCCTTCCTGAGCACATGAGATTAACCCCGTTTAAATGAAGTACATGTACCCTTCCTGAGCACATGACATTAACCCCGTTTTAAGGTAGTACCCTTCCTGAACACATGATGTTAGCACCGTTTTAAGGTAGTACCCTTCCTGAACACACGAGATTTACCCCGTTTTAAGGTAGTACCCTTCCTGAACACATGAGATTAACCCCGTTTTAAGGTAGTACCTTTCCTGAACACATGAGATTCACTCCGTATTAAAGTAGTACCCTTCCTGAACACATGAGATTAACCCCGTTTTAAGGTAATACCCTTCCGGAACACATGAGATTAACCCCGTTTTAAGGTAATACCCATCCTGAACACATGGTATTAACCCGTTTTAAGGTAGTACCCTTCCTGAGCACATGAGATTAACCCCGTTTAAATGAAGTACATGTACCCTTCCTGAGCACATGACATTAACCCCGTTTTAAGGTAGTACCCTTCCTGAACACTTGGCTGAGCACATGAGATTAACCCCTTTTTAAGGCTGTACCCTTCCTGAACACATGAGATTAATCCCGTTTTAAGGTAGTACCCTTCCTGGGCACATGGCTGAGAACATGAGATTAATCCCGTTTTAAGGTAGTACCCTTCCTAAACACATGAGATTAACCCCGTTTTAAGGTAGTACCCATCCTGAACACATGGTATTAACCCGTTTTAAGGTAGTACCCTTCCTGAGCACATGATATTAACCCCGTTTTAGGGTAGTACCCTTCCTGAACACATGAGATTAACCCCGTTTTAAGGTAGTACCCATCCTGAACACATGGTATTAACCCGTTTTAAGGTAGTACCCTTCCTGAGCACATGAGATTAACCCCGTTTTAATGTAGTACATGTACCTTTCCTGAGCACATGACATTAACCCCGTTTTAAGGTAGTACCCTTCCTGAACACATGACATAAACCCCGTTTTAAGGTAGTACCCTTCCTGAGCACATGATATTAACCCCGTTTTAAGGTAGTACCCTTCCTGAACACATGAGATTAACCCCGTTTTAAGGTAGTATCCTTCCTGAACATAGACATTAACCCCGTTAAGTAGTACTCTTCCTGAGCACATGAGATTAACCCCGTTTTAAGGTAGTAACCTTCCTGAACACATGATATTAACGCGTTTTAAGGTAGTACCCTTCCTGAGCACATGAGATTAACCCCGTTTTAAGGTAGTACATGAACCCTTCCTGAACACATGAGATTAACCCCGTTTTAAGGTAGTACCCTTACTGAACACATGAGATTAACCCCGTTTTAAGGTAGTACCCTTCATGAGCACATGAGATTAACCCCGTTTTAAGGTAGTACCCGTCCTGAGCACATGAGATTAACCCCGTTTTAAGGTAGTAACTTTCCTGAGCACATGAGATTAACCCCGTTTTAAGGTAGTACCCTTCCTGAACACATGACATTAACCCCGTTTTAAGGTAGTACCCTTCCTGAACACACGAGATTAACCCCGTATTAAGGTAGTACCCTTCCTGATCACATGAGATTAACCCCGTTTTAAGGTAGTACCCTTCCTGAGCACATGAGATTAACCCCGTTTTAATGTCCATTTCGTTACATAAAAAATCTAGAGGAATTAAACAGGTGACAAAAATGTGAATCACTATTAAATGAAGCTATTTAAATCATGTGAATCCTTATAATTAATTGTTGAATTTATTCCAGGAGCAATTATATGTACATTCTTTTTTAGTTCACAAAATAATTTATTATTTACTACTAGACTGGTCTTCAAATAAAGATGTTACTTGATATAAAAATAAGGAGATGTGGTATAATTGCTAATGATACAACTATCCACCAGAGTTCAAATGAAGTGGATGTAAGCAATTATAGGCCACCGTGCGGCATTTAACCACGAGAAAAACTCATACCGTATAGTTGACTATAAAAGTCCCGACATGAAAATGTGAAACAATTCAAACGAGAAACTTACTTCTTTTTATTGACTACTTTAAAATATCTCATTTTCAATAAGCATGAACTTATATACATTTTGAAGCTTGTGGTTAATTACAGTTATTCATATATAGTATTAAAATATTGATACTATATATATCCTTAAAAGATCAAATATGTGCCCCTACCCTATAAAATTTTACAAAATTTCCATATTTCTATCATTAACCTTGTAATTCTATCGCCAGGTGTAAGTATGTTATTTTACATTTGTTTCCGTTTATAAAAGTTTTTGCAAAAGACAAAACGCTAACGAATGCTATTCCTGTTTTTGACCCGAAACAACGCATGCCAAATAAAACGAAAATGGCGACAATTGTAAAAACTATGATTCCTGTTTCTAGGGTGATAAATTAATGAAAACATAATATTTGAAAATGTTTTCTCCAAAGAAATCAGAATTTAAAACTATCAAGGACTGCCTTTTCTTGTCGGTATCTTTCGATGAAGCACTATGTTCAAAAGGGCACAAGACACTTGGGCTAAATAATAAGCGATACCACGGTATCATTTGGGCTAAATATTTTGGGATGAATTTTACTCTTGGGCTGATCAAATTTTTCTACCTGAACATGTTAATTACATATATCAATATTTGATATAAAATTAAAAAAACATCACTTTAAAATCATTTGAAAAATAACCTACATAAAAATTATCTCCTTTTATAACCATGCTAGTTTGAAATGAAAAGAACTTAGTTTTACACCATTTAATGTGAGTATGTTTACATTTGAGATCAGACAGTATTACAAGTAAACAGTCTGTTCCTAAAGGCTGTTAGCTGTATATTCAGAACCAATCTTCGAGAATAATTAATTGGATGTACTTTTTATATCTTAATCTAGCTGTTTTATACCTGCGCTGTACATAGTTTTAAAGCGTGTTATTAAGTCTAGTCTTACTCAAAAATCCTACTTGCGTACCTCCCGGAGATGGACAGGAAGCGAACACTGTCTGGCAAACGGGAGGACTAAATAAAACGGGAACATGTTATAGATAGAATTTCATTTATTACTTATCAAATATTAATTTATAATTAAAATATTGATATGATACCTGTAATTTACCTGTACTTATCCCAAATATAGACTTCAAAATTAGCCCAATGTCGACTTACCGTTGGTTCAAACCCAACATATGTTTAGCCTAAATGTTATATATCTATTTGCCCAAACGTTCAGCTCTCGTTCAAAATAATAGCTCGGGACAATTGTGTTTAGGTTTTCAGTAGAATGATCTTTTATTTTCATCCAACCATTATATACAACAACAAAAAAAACACCTTGTGACATTATTTAAAAGCATGCTCTTTTAAATCAATAAACAAATTCAAAAGTAAGAAAACGATAAAAATCGCATTTCAGTATGCTCGACAAAGATGCGGTTTAGTTTCTTACATAATTTGTTGCGTGGAGTTCAACATTATTATAATGCGATACATTTCTGATATTAAAGTTTGAATTCGTTATTTACTGGTACGAGATTTTAAGTCTAGTGTATTTGTTCTATATTTTACAATTAAGTGTAGTTGTTCTATATTTTACAAGTAAAGAGCATTTCTTATATTTTCCCACACTGGTAGTGTTGTCCATTATAATATGGTTCATTCGAATAAATAAAAAAATGATCACTACACGTTGTGTCAATTACAATCTTTCCCAAAGTTGGAAGCTATCGACAAGCAGCGATTGGCATAACCGCAGGGATGACAGAGATTTGTATAAAAATGCCATTTTTCCCTGAAGATTGATGGAACCACAGAGAATGTTATCAACGATTTACGATCTGTTTGATCAGACTAGGAACATGGAAAGCTGCTCAGGACGTCATTTGGCTTCGGACGCGGCCGCTTTTAGAAAGCACAAGGGATTAAAGAAGCCGGACCATGTCTATTCAATCCAGATGGCACAAGAAAAGAAGTTCGAGGTGACAGTTCAGAAGGTCGAAGAATAGAAACAACAAGCTAGGAGGTCGTAGAACAGAATCAACTAGTCAGGAGGTCGCAGAACAAAAACAACAAGTCAGGGGGTCGTAGAACAAAAACAACAAGTCAGGAGGTCACAGAACAAAAACAACAAGTCAGGAGGTCGTAGAACAAAAACAACAAACTAGGAGGTCGCAGAACAGAAATAACAAGTCAGGAGGTCACAGAACAAAAAGAAAAAGTCAGGAGGTCGCAGAACAGAAACAAAAAGCTAGGAGGTCGCAGAACAGAAACAACAAGTCAGGAGGTCGCAGAACAGAAACAACAAGTCAGGAGGTCTCAGAACAGAAACAACAAGTCAGGAGGTCGCAGGACCAAAACAACAAGTCAGGAGGTCGAAGAACCGAAACAACAAGTCAGGAGGTCGCAGAACAGAAACAACAAGTCAGGAGGTCGCAGAACAGAAACAACAAGTCAGGAGGTCTCAGAACAGAAACAACAAGTCAGGAGGTCGCAGGACCAAAACAACAAGTCAGGAGGTCGAAGAACCGAAACAACAAGTCAGGAGGTCGCAGAACAGAAACAACAAGTCAGGAGGTCTCAGAACAGAAACAACAAGTCAGGAGGTCGCAGAACAAAAACAACAATCTTGCTTCAACAGTGCAGAAAATAAATAATCTGTCCTCTTAGTTTACAAAAATAAATGACCGATCCAAAACAAATCCTCCTGGCGCCCCCCCCCCCCTCCCCAGAATATCAAATGGTCGTCCCCTTAAGTAATGTGATCTTGATATATCATGTAGCTCAACTTCCTTTTTACCGATTGCAAATACTAAGATATTTTGAAACATGATGGTCACGGATGAATTTTTCGTCGCATTTTTTTTCAGGGACAAATCGATAGTTTCCTGATATTTTGCAATGATGACGACAGATATGTTCCAATAGCCGTAACCACAATCCCGTCGTCTTATCCTCGTATGTGACCAACTGAATTATACTTATCACCAGGTAGAAATAGAAAGTTAGGGGAAAAATAGAATTCAAAACCCTCATAAATTTTACTACTCATTTCCTTGCATATTTAGATTGTACTTATGTTTATGTCATATATGTGTATATGTATGTGATCAGTATCTTCCATAGATTTGATTTTCATTACTTGAAATGGTGAAATACAATTTCTATTGGTGTAGCCATGGTAAAAATTTGCATTTATTTGCTATAAAATATTGTAAAAATGTGTACGAAGATGTCACATATTGTCAATTTTTTTACCAGAAGTAGAAAATCAATCCAATAGAACGATACCTTTTCTAAAATTATCTATGTGTATCTACCAAGAGATCAAATAAAAACATGTGTTTCATTTTAATTTTTTCAATTTTTCAAACAATAAATTGCATCAAATGTTCGTTAGAAAAAAATGATTGTAAACATTACAATAACTTCTGACCCTAAGGTCGGTCTATAACACGTATAAAAAGCAATCTTGATATTCATTTGAACCCACTTTAAAGGCTTCATTATTCTTCAGCTGTCTAAAACTAAATTCTATTGCACAATAACTTTCATATGTACCGAAGCTAAAATGCGAAACTCCTAACTACCTCATGAGCAACACGACGAGTGCCACATGTTGAGCAGGATCTGATTATTATTAGTCTATTATGAGTGAATGTATTTATTTTTATGTAGTTTCTAAATAACTTACTACTCATGCTAGAAAGTAGGTATTAAAAAGTTGACTTGACGAAAAACAAATTGAAAACCGATTCTATTTTAACATTTTATTTATTTTAATTTCGAAAGCTTTCTTCTTTGCATAGTAACTCTATCAAACATCACTGTTAGTACATTAATCGTATCTAATGAAAATTGAGGACGGTAATGGCAATTAAAATATAAATCTAAGTTATCAAATCCGTATTGCTGAAAAGTTGTGGAACTGCTTACCCTTTTAGAGCACCTCATCTTTAGTTTTTAAATGTGCCCATGTTTTTGGGGTTGAATTATCTATCCGAGTTGTTCCTTTTTATTGCACATGGTTTGTTTTCGTTCTTTTCATCTGCAAACTTTCGAAGTTTCCTTTTCATGTTTTTATTTCGTGAAAACATGGACGCGTTGACTGCCTGTGCCTCTATAGAATTGTTTCCAATTAGTAGTTAAGTATGGATATCTTATTTTACCATACCATCTGTGAGCATTAAAATGAAGATATTCATGGTCATAATTATACTGCACACCTATTGTAAGTGAGCCTCCAGGTTTTGTTACACACCATGCTCGTGCTATGGCAATAATGTCACCCCACGGATTCAATGCGTCCCCATATCTCCCTAATCCCGAGTGTTCTATAGAACTAAATGTAACGATACCATCAAATAATCCTAAAGTGTTGTTAAGATAACGCATACGAAAATCAAGAGGAATCATAGTTTTCACTTTTGGGTGTTCTGATTTGATACTGCCATACTCTAATGTCACTACTTCACGTGCTCCTGCTTCAAGTACGCATGCCTCAACCCATGGGATTTCTGAACCTATTACCAAAACCCTACCGTCTTTAATCCCTGGTGCATGTTTTAATCCATCTCTAAGAGCATTTGTTTCTCCTACACCGTAATTTCCCTTTAATTTACCTTCTTTTGCTAGAATTATCCAGTCTTCAATAGTTTTATTTGTCCACACAGGACTTGCTGCTTTTTTACCTAAATATATGTTACTGATATACCACTTTTTAACTGGTATACGATTATTCATAGTAAACTCATTCATTAGTTCTTTCGGAATTGTTTCCGGTGCACGAGGTAGTCCGTGACCACGGTCTACAAATTCATTCCTTAATATTGCATGGCAATTAATTGTTGCGTTGATATGATCAAAATATGGTCCTGGTGACCCTTTTCTTGATGTATTACACAGGTCACCACAGTCTTGACGGATTGATTTCATTTTATCGGACAAACCATATTGGCCAGGTGAAGGTACCTCCACGGTAGTCGCTTGCACCGGTGCAGCCGGCTGATTTTGAGACAACTGCTTATAGACAGATGCATGTTCTGTTAACAAATTCATGCCAATCATTTGTTTATTAATCATTACCCTTATAACACTGTTGGGTATAATCACCCATGAAATAATTCCACCTATTAACAATCCAGAAATGATGAGAACTTTTCTTTTGGTGAACATACCTCTGCTTGATATTCTGTAAACAATAGAAAAAAAGTAAAATAAGAAAAAAGATGAACACGACTTTTTTTGTAACATTATATACATGTCATTGAAATCTTCAACCATGATACATTTCATCCATTTTGAAACAGTATCAGAAACGTGTAATTTGTTTTTGTACCCGAGCAATGATTTGTATAGTACTATATAGACTGAGTCACATTTTGTTTTGTTTTTTTCACTTCTCATCCCTTTTATTGTAATGTCGTATAGAACTGAATTATTGAAGTATTTATTCAAAATTGGGAAAGTTCTTATATCCTTCAACAGCTTTGGCTACAGGCGTGATATACTAACTTATGCTGTTAAAATGGTTCCTTCTTCCGATTTGATGACAATGTTAAATAAGTATGGTGGATGTTTGTCTCATTGGCAAGCATACATGTGCCACATCATGGTGGAGATTTCATGAAACCTTTTAGAAGTTTTGGTTGTGGTTATTTTATTTTCTTGAGCGGTATTATTCAACCAACAGCTGTGGCTACCTTAGGCGGTACTAATCAACCAACAGCTGTGGCTACCTTGAGCGGTACTAATCAACCAACAGCTGTGGCTACATTGGGCGGTACTAATCAACCAACAGCTGTGTCAACCTTGAGTGGTACTGTTCAACCAACAGCTGTGGCTAACTTGAGCGGTACTAATCAACCAACAGATGTGTCTACCTTGAGCGGTACTAATCAACCAACAGTTGAGGCTACCTTGAGCGGTACTAATCAACCAACAGGTGTGCCTACCTAAGGCGGTACTAATCAACCAACAGTTGTGGCTACCTTGAGCGGTACTAATCAACCAACAGCTGTGGTTACCTTGAGCGGTACTAATCAACCGACAGCTGTGGCTACATTGGGCGGTACTAATCAACCAACAGCTGTGTCTACCTTGAGTGGTACTAATCAACCAACAGATGTGTCTACCTTGAGCGGTACTAATCAACCAACAGCTGTGGTTACCTTGAGCGGTACTTATCAACCAACAGCTGTGTCTACCTTGAGCGGTACTAATCAACCAACAGCTGTGTCTACCTTGAGTGGTACTAATCAACCGACAGCTGTGGCTATATTGGGCGGTACTAATCAACCAACAGCTGTGGCCTACCATGAGCGGTACTAATCAACCAACAGCTGTGTCTACCTTGAGCGGTATTAATCAACGTACAGGTGTGTCTATCTTGGGCGGTACTAATCAACTAACAGGTGTGTCTACCTTGAGCGGTACTAATCAACCAACAGCTGTGGCTACATTGGACGATACTAATCAACCAACAGCTGTGTCTATTTTGGGCGGTACTCATCAACTAACAGGTGTGTCTACCTTGAGTGGTACTCATCAACCAACAGCTGTGGCTACATTGGGCGATACTAATCAACCAACAGCTGTGTCTACCTTGAGTGGTACTAATCAACCAACAGCTGTATCTTCCTTGAGTGGTACTAATCAACCAACAGCTGTGGCTACCTTGAGCGGTACTAATCAACCAACAGCTGTGGTTACCTTGAGCGGTACTATTCAACCAACAGCTGTGACTACCTTGAGCGGTACTAATCAACCAACAGCTGTGTCTACCTTGATCGGTACTATTCAACTAACAGGTGTGTCTACCCTGAGCGGTACTATTCAACTAACAGGTGTGTCTACCTTGAGCTAACGAGTTAGTTTTCCGAATTATGGACCGTCTTTTATTTCCTTGTTATAGTAAATGGTCATCCTGTTGGTAGCTGCATTGTGTTTTACTTTTACGTATTGTATAAATAGACAAAGGGGCGCGTATATACAACGGATTTAACAGGATATTTTGATGTTCACATTTTTAAATCATTACACTCTAGTTTTATTGTTGTGTATAGGTATTTAAACTTTTGAATCACCAACATAAGCATTGATTCTTGTAAGTGTTCAAGCACCTCTGACATCACTGTGACTTGAACGCCAAATCAATATCAAACCCCAAGCAAGTAAAGAAGCTGTACATGTTGTAAAGTTATTTCGCACATTTCTTTTATAAAAATGCTCACATCACTAAATACATTTAATAAAATTGAGAATGGAAATGGCAATGTGTCAAAGTGACAACAACCCCACCATAGAGCAGACAACAGCGGAAGGCCACCAATGGGTCTTCAATGCAGCGAGAAACTCCCGCACCCGGAGGCGTCCTTCAGCTGGCCCCTAAACAAATATGTATACTAGTTCAGTGATAATGGACGTCATACTAAACGCCAAATTATACACAAGAAACTAAAATTAAAAATGATACAAGACTAACAAAGGCCAGAGGCTCCTGACTTGGGACAGGCGCAAAAATGCGGCGGGGTTAAACATGTTTTTTGAGATCTCAACCCTCCCCTATACATCTAGCCAATGTAGAAAAAACAAACGTACAACAGTACGCACAGTAAAACTCAGTTTAAGAGAAGTCCGAGTCCGATGTCAGAATAGGAAACAAAAGAAAATAAACAAAATGACAATAATACATGAATAACATCAGACTACTAGCAGTTACTGACATGCCAGCTCCAGACCTCAATTAAACTGATTGAAAGATTATGTCTTCATCATATGAATATCAGGCACAATCCCTCCTGTTAGGGGTTTAGCATTATACCATCATAAAATATATGAGAACATAATTTAATGCATTTTTTATTTTATTAACTTGTTCGGTTGCAGTCTTATTGATTTTACTTATGTATATCAATAATGCCACGTGAAGGGTCATGTTTTGTTCGTCGATTCTCAAAATAAAAGTGTAAATAAATCATAATGCAGTATGTGTACTTTGTTATTCATACTGTTCCTTATAAGGGGCCATCGAGGTGTGGTGCCCTCTAGTAATCACTCGGGTTGTCCCTGCGTCAGCACTTCTATACCGTATCATGTAAGATTTATGATATTATACAATTATAGCCTTTGTAGGAGGTCGATACAAGGATATATTGACCTGAAAGAAGTATATTGACTGAGGACGAAGTCCGAGGTCAATATACTTCTTTGGGTCGATATATCCTGTATTGACCTCATAAATAGGCTATAATTGTTATATTATTAATTTCCGACCATATTTGTATCAAAATCGTCATTTGATTTTGTTGTAATTTTATAGATATGATATTGTCTCCTAGACAATAACAACAGATTAGTTGTTATTTCATTTACCTTTTTGATGTTTTTTTTTTACATGTTATATATTTGAAGATTTTTCTTCTTCAAATAATCGATCATAGATATTTTTTTATAAAACTTTTAACAATATCATGAAATTCATTACATGACGTCACAAAGTATATCGGTTTTTAAAAATAACCGTGCAATATGCTTTTTGCTGTGCAATATGCTTTTTGCTATCCGCCGTTTCCTCTCTACCTTCGAAAATATAGTTTAACATGTGACTATCCCTGAACGAATCAAATTAGTTAAAATATACGAATTAATAATATATATAAATATAGCCATTTTATACGGGCATTTAAACTTTTCCATTGACGGGAGAATTTAAAGTGCACAAAGACATATTGAATAATGAATGTTCCAGTAATATTTAAATTTTTTCTCTGTTAAGCGTTGATGTATTCGTTTCTTTTTAAGACAAGACAAGACGATATACTTGACTAGACCGCAGACACACAGGTGTACAAGAGGACATTATAAAACCCTACACTTATATAAGCAATACACACACAAAAACAGATATAGTGAAATAGTAGCATACAGCAAAATGTACTAGGATATATATCCTAACATTTTATTTAAAAAAAATAGACATATTATAAATACCGAATAAATATTTTTTGAAATACTGTTAAATTTTTGTTCAACATGACAAAACATTAAAATCGTTTAAACTTGTATTGCCTTGGATTTGCAGTGGGGTATTGTGGTTACATATTCATTTCTACGGATTTTTATTTCCTATTTTTGACTTGTGAAAAGATGATCATACTCATCACCTAATCCGTTTCTACACAGATGACAAATTCGTTCGTTTTTTCGGTTCCCCAGACCATCTTCCCGTTTCTACGGGAAATTTTAATTTTCACATCTGAGTTTTGCTATATAAATCCTGTCACACAGATTCAACGAACTTCCTGTTTGTATTCTGAATTAAATATACCTCTTGAGAGTTGTTTATTTGGGTAAACAAACGTTGGCTAAACCCAAAAATTTAGTTATCGTGAAATTAAATCTTTCAAAATACAAGATTCTCCATCGGAAGTTGATCTTGCCAAATAAATCTGAATTCACGTTTGTCAATTTGACAAATATTGATTTAACATATGAATCCATTTATATTTTGTAGGATATTGCAAATGTAATTTAAACATTAATTTATACATGATTGCTGATAGTTTGGTGTTCCTATATAGTATACTATTTCGAAACAAGAATATTGTAAGCTTACAAGTAGTTTCCAAAGGGAATCGTTCGAGTTCCCCATACATCATATAGTTTGATGTACTATTTATTATTTTCAATTCGTGTATATAAAATTGAAATTCTGAGAAGGAAGTAAATGCACTGGTTTAAGCTCCTCCCATTCTTTGCTTTTCCGATAAGAAGCAGCTGACAGCGGAATTGGAAAGGGCAATAACTAAGAATCTATTCAATTAATGCTCGAATATGAAAAATTACCATTCATGTTACAAATATACTCTTAATGTTTCGTTACAGAGCATACATACAAGGCTGTTCCTGATCAAGAGGGTTTTTCCGTGCAGTACACAATCTTCCGTCGAAAAGAATATAAAGGAATGAATAACAAGAGGTTCTCAAGAGCTTGAATCGCTCACCTGTTATTTTATTTTGCTTAAATCTTTCATCAATGATTATTTTTGCTTTTTACCCATATGTTCCATTTTAACCATAGTGTATATGTTTCTTGAGGTACAAGGAAATGAAATACAAAATTTATACTAGATTCATTTGAGAAGATTTTTAAAGTTAAAAAAACATAAAACAACTTGTCTAAAATTCTCC